AAATATATATTGTGTGTTGGAGTGTTCCAGACGCTACACTGATTTCACATGTATCTCTGTTACACATAGTCGTGTTGGTATTAAATGTGACTAAAGCCTCTTTAGAGATTGTGTGTATTGTGAACGAGCACCAGCCCCTCTCACACACGCTGATGGAGTGAGACAGCTGCTCTTCCTGAATGAAAAACAGCCCTCGCTCCCCAGTGCAGTGCAGTGAGCTACAGCTACAACTATTGAGTCTAATTGAAATGAGTTGGCTGCCTTACATTAGCTTACTTTTCATCAAGATGTTTGGGCTTCTTATTATGCATTTGTTGAAAAGAGTCTGACTGTATGGCTGCAGTCCATGATGGTCGGACATCCTGTGCCAAAATCAAACTGAACACTTTCTACTATCTATGTCAGTAGACATTTGTCAGAGTAGACTTGATTAGTTCTCTTAAACATTAGTACCCTTTTGGTAGATGTCATAACTACACCATTATGTGGGTAAATAGCATATCTGTTATTAAACGAGGTGGAGTAGACGTGCACATTATGTTCAGTCTGTCATACTGTTTTAAGATGTATAATTGAACAGACTGTACTTCTGTCAGAGTCAGACTCATCATAATTGTATTGGCATGATTATTAAAATGTATACGATTAATTACTTACTGGACTGTTAATAGACATACAGACAAAAATAAAAAGATAAGGTAAAATGAAAATTGTTTTTATTCCACCATGCACATAAAGCAAGAAGCATCACTAGCTCACTTCAAATGAAAGTTTTTATCGACTACTGGTGAATAAAGATAAACTGCTGCCTCCTCTTCAAATATGTCTTGTTAGCACTTCAGTAATGCACACATAATGCATTAATAACAGATTGAAGTATGAAATATTTAGATGGACTGTGTGAATTAAGTAAATTACTTTGCACCCTCAAGTGGTTCTAAATGATATTGCATCACTTTGCCTCAGAGCCACATCCACCCCTGATGATAAACACCACATTAGCAGATGCGGTTCAGTATAGATTTGCTCTTAGAGCTTGTTTTACATTTAGTGGAAACCATTTTATAAACCAAATAGAAACTACACACAACCATGTATTTAACCTTTCTGCCAGAGTACCGGAATTAAATAAATAAGTGGTCCCATAATATATGCACACAGTCAAATCTATTATTACTATTAGTTTATGCAGGAAAAAAAGTGGTCTTCCCATCTGCTGCCTGGAGAATAGAGAAATGGCTGTTTTTCCCCTTCCTCAGCAAATCCTATTTTCTTCAGAGACCAATTGTAATATTACATAAAGAAATGTTGTACGTCTTAAAATGGGAGAGGTACTACGGCAGCAGATAAGAGATGTTGTCCATTGTAATCGGCCAAACAAAAAATATGAGGATATGCAGGCAGAGAGAATACTCTTTTATAGAGCTTATAGTCATGGACAATAGTCATAAGTGAAGAATTGGCTAGTAGGAATGTAAATTGAATTGGCCAAAGCTAATAGGAATTGGAATTTCAATTGGATTGACAGAAAATGAAATGAAATGCGTTACAGTCACACAACAGATGCTCACAACTGCTCTACAACTTGCTGTCAACAACAGTACTGGTGAAAAGGGGGTGAATGCCTTTATTGTACTGAATATAATATAGACTGAGGAACTCTTTGGTCTTAATATCGTAACTGCAACAAATTCTATCAAATTTACACATACTGTAAAAATGTTTGACTAAAAAAATCAGAAAAATACTGTAAAATGTTCAATTAAAAACCTGTTAACCCTGTAAAGCCTGAAAAATCGATTTTTTAAAAATAGAACAGTTTATTGAACCTTTAGACAAAATATATATTTAAAAAATAATTTATTATTAATAATTTAAAAATAATATATTTTTTAATCATATTTGATACATCATGCCTTTATGGCTCATATTGTCTGATATAGGAGAATATGGAGCTCAAAAAGGAAAAAGACACAAACATGCAAATTGGTGCAGTTGCTGATATACAGTGGGTACGGAAAGTATTCAGACCCCCTTAAATTTTTCACTCTTTGTTATATTGCAGCCATTTGCTAAAATAATTTAAGTTAATTTTTTTTCCTCATTAATGTACACACAGCACCCCATATTGACAGAAAAACACAGAATTGTTGACATTTTTGCAGATTTATTAAAAAAGAAAAACTGAAATAACACATGGTCCTAAGTATTCAGTCCCTTTGCTGTGACACTCATATATTTAACTCAGGGGCTGTCCATTTCTTCTGATCAGCCTTGAGATGGTTCTACACCTTCATTTGAATCCAGCTGTGTTTGATTATACTGATTGACTTGATTAGGAAAGCCACACACCTGTCTATATAAGACCTTACAGCTCACAGTGCATGTCAGAGCAAATGAGAATCATGAGGTCAAAAGGAACTGCCTGAAGAGCTCAGAGACAGAATTGTGGCAAAGCACA